AAGAAGACTCCCTCTTGAGATGGTTCGTCGAATTTGATGACGCCATAAGGGCGCGTCGCATCGACGACGGGGATATGCAAGTTGTATTTGCCCAGTCAAATCTGGCAGGACGTGCCAAGACTTGGGCACTGGGGCTCAAGTTGCACGACCCATATGCGTTTGGGTCGTTGGAAGTCTTCAAGTCGCGGCTCAGACAAACGTTTGAACCGCATAGAGCTGAGTTCAGGGCTCGAACCGAACTCTTGAAGCTCAAGCAGGGTAAGCGTGATGTGCACGCTTACGCTCAACATATACGACATCTCACGAGTTGTATAAGTTCCAATCCGGTTGATGAACACACGTTGGTTTCGGTGTTCATGCAGGGTCTTGCGGATGGTCCCGTCAAGACTCACCTGTTCCGGCTTGAACTAGATTCACTAGAACAAGCCATTTCCATTGCGGAGCAGGAAGACTTCAGTCTGAGACAGGCTCGCGCCAGCTCGACATCATATCGTCAACCAAGACGATATGACAACGGAGGTCCAGAGCCGATGGAACTCTGTTATGTAGAGAGCGAGAAGGCTCGCTCTACAGGCTACAAGAAGTTGCAGAGATGCAACAGATGTCAAAAGACAGGACACTACGCTTACGAGTGTAGTGCCCCTCGTCCAGTGTCTCGCGACACTGGGCGTAGTGACCGTCCACCCATGAGAAAGAGGCAGGGACGAGGGTCCGCAGTTGGTGCAAAGACGCAACAACGGGATGGACCGTCAAAAAAAGGACAGGATCAGTAGGTGCAGAGCACCCTACTGGTCTAGCAACGTCAAGAGAATTTGTAGGCCTCTTGATGAAAGTTGCTCCCAACACACAAACGTTGTGCGTTGCTGCTCTAGGTAATGAGGTCTCACTCATTACCTTGAAACTCGAAGTGACGAATAAGTTGTCCCTTCGAGCTCTAGTCGATTGTGGGGCTTCCAACAATTTTGTGCGACGCCAATCGCTAGAAGATGGTCACTTTAAGTTCAGTGAATGTGACACACCTCCTACGAGGATGACGGTACTTCTTGCAACAGGCGCATCCGTAACCGTCATGAAGCGTATAGTGAAGATCCACTATGCGCTAGAAGATACCCAATATGACGATGACTTTATCGTATTGGATTTGGATGACAAATTTGATGTCATCCTTGGAATACCGTGGCTCAGAAGGTACGAACCACGGGTAAACTGGCAACATCGAACAGTAACGATGCCTGCCGCTTGTTCATCAGATGGCCATCTGATGAACGTTTTGGAGCGTCCACAAGCGTGTGGATGTACTACGAGTGAGTGCGATGGCCTCACTTGTGGTACGGTCGTTAGTACGACTGCACAAAACCTTAGTGTACCAAACGGTTACACTTCGGAGCAAAGTTCCGGCGGCTGTGAGGAAACACAGGCTGCGCCGAAGGTCCACCACTCGAATAAGTCGGGTGGACTGGGACAAAGATGTATCCCTAGCGGGGAACATCTAGAAGAGAAACAATCGATCGCTCAGGTTAAGCGAAACGATAATCCTAGATCGACTGGAGAGTCTTTCGTAGAGGATCTCGCTGTGGTTGCGCAACCCCAGCTAGAGGAAGTAAAGGGAATAAGTCCCAAGATTACAAATACGGCGGAAACAAGTTCCCCGAAACCCGCGGGAATAAGTCCCCGGGAAGCCGAAGGAATAAGTCCTTCGAAGCCTGAGGGAATAAGTCCCCAGGAAGAGACATTAAATGTCCTAGTCAATGACGGATCAAGTGTAGGCGCTTATACACTTGATCGGATTGCGCCTCCGAAGTTAACTTCGGAGATCACTCAGTTGCCAACGCTCGAACATAAAAGGTTCTTGCGTGATCTGCGTAGTGGCAAAGTCAAGCAGATCTGCGTACTCGTCGCTGACGACGAGTGTGTAACCGACATAAGATCAGCAACAGTGTTTACTGAGAACGAGAGAGTTCTCAGTAGTTTATCTATGGACGAGAGTGTCCTAGATGAAAAGACACGAATTGAGCGATATGACTCCCAATCATGGGAATCGCTCAAGACAAATCCTCTCTATGAAGATTTGGTTGAATTCAAGGATGTATTCCCTGAAACTGTTCCGTGCGAATTATCGAAGGATAAAGGTATTCGACACGAGGTCGAGCTTAAACCAGGCTCGAAGTACTGTGTCATGAAGCAGTGGCCACTGCCTCGTGAACAAGTACTTGCGATCGACAAGTTCTTTGCCGATCTTTTAGCCGCGGGCCATGTGAGGGAATCAACTTCCCCACATAGCTCTCCGACCTTCTGTGTGCGAAAAGCAACAGGAGGGTGGCGGATAGTGTATGCATTTAACAAGTTGAATGCTGCAACGGTACCGGCTCAGACGCCGATACCAAGGAAGGACGTAATCATTGATGGTATGTCAAAGAGTACCATCTTTTCGTCCATGGATTTGATGGATGGCTTCTATCAAATCCTTATGCGAGAACGGTATATACCCTATACCGCAGTGAGCACGCCTAGCGGCATGCTCTGGGAATGGCTAGTAATGCCACAAGGGCTTAGTAATGCCCCTGCCACGTTCAACAGATGTGTATCACATCTGTTGAGACTAGTACGCGAATTCGCGCCGAGTTATTTCGATGACGTATTCATCCATAGTCGAGCTATGGATGGAAAGTCGGACGTTGAGGTTCACAGGTACCACGTCCGACAAGTTCTTACAATCATGCGAAAGCATCAATTGTATGCTAACCTCAAGAAGTGTATATTTGCAGCAAGCGAAATACCACTTCTTGGGTGCATCGTTGGTAAGAACGGTGTACGTCCTGATCCCGAAAAGATCAAGGCGATCACCGACTGGCCTGTGCCGGTTGATGTCAAAGGTCTTCGAAAATTCCTTGGGCTATCGGTGTATTTGCATAAGTATTCACGCAATTACGCCGAGATGACTGTGCACCTCTCTCGTTTGTTGAAAAAGAACGAGAGGTGGTTATGGAACGCTGAATGTCAACGCTCCTTTGATGGTATCAAGCAGAGCTTGATACAATCCCCAGTCCTAGCAATAGCCGATCAGGACAGGCCATTTCATGTGGTCTGTGATGCCAGCGATTTCGCAATCGGCTGTGCATTAATGCAGTACGATCTTGAAGGCGTTGAACGCGTCGTCTGCTATCAGTCGCGTCAGCTGCAACCAGCTGAGCGGAACTATCCAGTGCATGACAAGGAACTCCTTGCCATGAAGTATGCACTCGCGAAGTTCAGAGTCTATCTATTAGGAGATAGACCCTTCATTGTTTACACTGACCATGCGTCATTACGCACGGCAGTGAACAGCCCGCACCTTTCACAACGAATGGCGCGGTGGTTGTCATTCTTTGCGGAATACAACTTTACGGTCGAGTACAAACCAGGACGACTTAATGTCGTCGCTGATGCACTCTCACGTCGTCCCGACTTTGAAACAGTCGCGAAACCCAACAGTGAGACAGTCACTGTTGCGGTTATGACGTCCTCAGTCCCATCTACAACGTTGTATGATGATGTGAGGCGGGCATACGCCCAAGATGGTGAGATAGTGAAGTTGTTGTCACATCTCTCCCAACCATCTCGAGAATCGTTGAAACGATTGTCGCCTGCGTATCGATCTGCATCAGATCGATACACTACTCGTAACGGTTTACTGTATTATACAGCCGTTTCTGGTGACACACCACGTGTTGTCATTCCAGATGATACTGATCTGCGTTTGCGGATCATGTTCGAGTATCACGATGCTCCTATAGGAGGACATCGTGGCCGAGAGAAAACATATCTCACGGTAAGTCGAGACTTTTACTGGCCCCGCCAGTATCAGTTTGTGCGAAAGTATGTTCGCGCATGCGAAGTCTGTCAACGAGTGAAGTCAAGTCCTTCACTGCGTGCACCTTTACAGCCTCTACCGGTTCCGGCTGAGTGCTGGGAATCCATCTCAATGGATTTCGTCTTCGGGTTACCCAAAGACGCACGCGGGAATACGGGTATTCTCGTATTTGTTGACCGATTCAGCAAAATGGTACACCTTGTGGCTGTACCAGAGACAATCACGGCAAGTGGCTGTGCTTGTGTCTTTATTGACACCATCTTCCGACTTCATGGGTTGCCCCGTGAACTAGTATCAGACAGAGATCCACGATTCACTGCTGATTTCTGGCGTTCCGTGTTCAAATCACTCGGAACGCGCTTGAAGATGTCAACATCTGATCATCCAGAGTCAGATGGTCAGACGGAACGTGCCAATCGTGTCCTTGAAGAGATACTTCGAGGATACGTACACTCCTTTAAGAGTTGGAGTGAGTTTTTGCCGATGGTAGAGTTTGCCATCAACAACTCGGTGCATGCGTCCACGACACATACACCGTTTTACGTGAATGGCTTGCGCAATCCGCGTGTACCCACCTTACTAGAGTGTAACTCTGGTTTAAGGGGGGGAGGGACTCGCGCGAGCAAAAACCGAATTGGTTCACGCTCATCACGCTCTGACGAAGAAGTCATTGCGTTTGATGCCGATATCGATAACATCGATATCGAAGAAGATGATGCCAGTGAGAGTGCGGAAGCCCTCACTGAAGAAGATAATCCCAGTGAGAGTGCGGAAGCCCTCACTGAAGAAAAGGTTGGTGTTGCTGCAGTGCGCTCACAGCACACTGAAGCTAACGAGTCATCAGATGAGTTCATACTGGCTCGTGAAACGGTAGTCCGTTTTGTGCAAGACTCCATCGCCGAAGCGGTGGATAAGGAAAAGCAAAACGCTGACAAGAATGGAAGGGCAAACACTCTTTTATTTAATAAAGGTGACTTAGTCCTACTGTCTACGGTTAATCTACCAAAACATGTAGTGACTAACTTGGGTAGCAGTAAACTACTACCCAAGTACATTGGCCCATTTCGTGTATTGCACCGCCTAGGCAATGCATACACGATCGAGTTACCACGTAAGATGCGAACGCATCCCACGTTTTACGTTGGTCGGCTTAAGCCGTACCATCAGTACGCTGCTTCTTCCGATGAAGAACGCCCTCGCGCTCAAGCATCTCGCAGAGAGTCTTGTGCTCCCGATGGTGGGCATCAACAAGGGTCTGAAGAGCAGCTATCTCATCCCGAGATCGATCAGCAATCCCACGAGCTACCCTTAGCTCGTCACGAAGAGAAGTCAGAGATCTCTCGTTCTCGAGCTGAGCAAAGGCAAACTCAGCTCGATGCTTCGAGGCAGTGTCCGCCATTTGGAGACGCCTATTCCGCTCATGTTCGAGATCGTCGCGTAACCCTTGCGTTACGCGATCAAAGAAGCTCTCGGGTACACACCGATCCACATGATCGTGTGGAGAGCGTCTTTCCTCCTCCTCCACCTCCATGAGAGGACTCTCGCGGTGGCCAGCGCTATCTAGTTGAGCAGCTGTTGAACCACCGCGACGTGAACGGTCGTCGGACGAGTTATCTCGTCCGGTGGCGCGGCACATCCTGTGCCGCAGAAGGACCGCCGGAGAAAGTCTTCCCGGCACGGTCGTAAAGGGATTTCAGGTTGTCAATCCCTTCGTACATCTCAGTAGAGACACGTACGCGCCACCACGGGCTGGTAAGGAGGTAAGCCTCCTTAGGTGCTCGTGCAGAGTTGTTCACACAACATGGGCACGAGTCTCCCCAAGAGAGGCAGGGTAATCCTTTCTCCCTTGACAGACGATGCAGCTTGTAGCGTGCACCTGTCGGGGTTCGCTTTTCAAACTTATCACGAGTTTTGATAAGTTTGTCGTTCCATACGTCACGACCTACATCCTCAAGGTTATGGATGTAGGCGTTCCACGCCTGAAGTAGTGAGGGACCATCACGTTTGTGATTCCCACTGTACCATCGATGTCTAAAGAAAGCATCGATGAAGAATTCATGTTCAGCGCGATAGTTTTTCGCGCTGGGGTCAAGGTGATGGATCCTTGACGAATCGAACAATCGTGTTCTATAACGATCACTCGTCGTCGCCGACAAGTGATCTGTGGTGAAGTCGATCTCACAAATTGCTTGTATGAGTGTCGATCTTCCACTTGCCCAGACTTGCCGACTCACGGAGGGGGTACTCCGATCCGTGCCTTGTTGTATGACCTTGTGCTCACCTTGTGTACCCGTCGGTTGGGCTGGCTTGAGCTCTTCGTAACGGCCTTGGGAGATGTCGATCTCGCTGAGAGGTTGGGTTGAGGGTTCGCTTCCGGTGCGGAAATCTTCACACCACGAACGGGGGTTCTGCGATCCCGATCTTGGATCGCACCGATCTTGATTTGTCTTCGAGATCGGGGTCTTTGCTGTGCGGAAATCTTCACTCAGTAAATAAAAGTCCTGCGTCGATCTTGCCTTGGGATCGGTCCGATCTGGTCTTGGGATCGGCCGATCTTGCCGGAAGTGCGCAATTTGGGTAGATCGGTGTCTTGTTTCGCCAAAATGAAACGTGCCGATCTGTCCAGGGGATCGCTTCGATCCTGCTCGGTCTTGTCTTGAACGCCTTGTCCAGATCTTCTGACCACTTGAGCCGTCTCGCGATCCTGTGTCCAAAATCCTTTTCCTTTTCCGTTGTGTGCTGCTACCCTAGCAGTTGAGTTGAGTGTGAGTACTTGATCGATCTGGGCCAGATATCCCGGGATCGCTCTTCTCGATCTTGGCCAACAATCCAAGATCGGTCTTCTGTGTCCCTGTAACACGCGTGCCTTAACCCGCCGGGGAAGCCAAATCAATCTTGCCTGGAGAAGAGGGGAGGATAACGTGCGTCGTGAGCAGAAGAAGTAGCGTTCAAGTCTGTTTATTAACCAACCAAATTACTATCCAACCTACCCTTAAGCCTATTCTTAACTATAGGTCACTCTTCAAACCGATATCGCCTTGAATCTGGTTCGCCCCCTTGCCACGTGTCGAAATTTCGTGCCCTGTACTCCAATGATAGCGCCAATATTCCCGATACCGTACCTGAACGCCAAAAGAGGACCAAATCCCAAATGGGGTACCAAATACCCATGTTTGGTACCCAAAAGCCCAAAATAGTGCCCAAATGCCGAAGGCGTCTAAATCCATTTTGCGACGTCAATTTAACCGGCTTCCACTGGCTCTTTCGATCTGAACTTTTGAGACATCACTCATGGACCTTCAACAAGCATGTTTGTCATGATCCAAAATTCTCATCAACGATACATCCATAATCAGTGGGGATCATGACCGATCTGATGCCCAATTCGAGATTGTTGAGGATCGACACAGTACAATCCGGCCATATATGTTCTTCCGTTCATTGTGTGCACTCCGATGCTTTATCAAAATGATTCTGCTTCAACATCCACATCCTTGCCTCTGATCAGCCTTCAGAGTGGTCGTTCGGTTCAATCCAGTCCCTCATCCCAGATCGCACCGTGGAAATCACCCCTTGCTACGCCCCGTCTCAAACCACGTCGCATCGCCTGGTCCCAGGCGTACTTTTCTCAAATGATTCTGCTTCAACATCCACATCCTTTCCTTTGATCAGCCTTTAGAGTGGTCGTTCGGTTCAATCCAGTCCCTCGTCCCAGATCGCACCGTTGGAATCACCCCTTTCTACGCCCCGTCTCAAATCACGTTGCATCGCCTGGTCCTAGGCGTACCTCTTCCGCCAGTGGGTGACATCTTAACTGGGTGGACACCGATCCACGTCCCATCATTTGATTAGTGACTTTACCACAGTTACACCTTCGTCGCAGAGTCATATCCCATCACCCGGTCCCAGATCCTTGTCCCAGATTGTTCCATGTAAATCGTTCCAGATCGCTCCGTCCCAGGTCGATCCATACCCATTAGTCTAACGACAGTTGGATCGGTTCGCCGATCCCGTTAAGATCATCTTCCACCTCCGTATTGGATCGCCGAGTCTCATGGCCTCCTTTTCCACCAGTAAGCGGCGCTTTAAAGGTGTGGCCACCGATCCTCGTACAAAATTTGAGTAGTGACTTTGCCACAACCGCCCCCTGTACTGAAGTCTTTTGTACAGCAATTGACCTCAGTACAGTCACTCATCAACTTCGTTCCAAGCACTCAAGTCCGTCTCATGGCCTCTCCGACGCATCCACCCACCTCGCCGATCTCATCAGAAGGACCCACCATGTTTCTGTCTCCGGATCGCGACCTGTCGCCCGGATCGCCCGATCTCGGAGGACACACCCCAGCGGTCCCCGATCGGCCTGGGTCTCCGCGCCATCTAGATCATCCCGGATCGCAGATCCCTCGTCTGCAGGACAAGTTCAAACCTGCTCCATCGTCTTAGTCCAAGGTCGATATCCAAGCCCGATCGTCTTTCATAATCGTGTAAGTCATTCAATCATCTTCTTTTTGGTACTTCAATTCTTTGCAGCTTCCACGATCTCGATCCTCATCGCTCCACATCATTCAGGAAGGTAATTCACTTGACTATCTCCATACTCACATACAAAAACCTCATCCACCAGCATGTGCTACCGTCTAGCACATCTTTCAACCCCTACATCCGCATATGCTACCTCCCGCATACTTGTTCGAACTGTTAAGGTTCGTCCGACTTGCCTTCATGAGACTGCATTACGTCGAAACGGTTTCGACTCACTCGGTTCCGCTCAAACTCTTGCAAGATCGCCCCACAACTTAGATCGGCCTCGTCCACCCAACTTAGATCGGGATATCCCTTCCACTTCACCAGAAACTGCCGGTGTACTCGCCCATAACGGGTTTTTCTACCAGATTGCACGTCCAATATTGCCTCTACTTCATATTCCCCTTCTTCAAGATCGCCATCCCAACTGTCTTCTGGCAGCAGAGCTTCATCGAAATTCAAGCGATCTGATTCCTCTATCGTAAGCTGATCCTTCGGGCGTTCAGGGAACGTCTTTACCTTTTTTAGCTTCGATATATGTACAATCGGAAATAACCGATATGGGGTTCCAGCGATCTCCAATTTTACAGCATGATCTCCACATACGTCCGCAACTCGGAATGGCCCATGCCACATGTGCGCTAGCTTCTTCGCATATCCCTCTTTAACTCGGTCCAGGTATAGCCAAACTTGCGCTCCTACTTCGATCTCGTGTGGTTCCAGATCTTCGTTGTGTCGATCCGCTCGCTCCTGGATCGCGGCTTGTAAACGATCGTTCACTGCAGATCGGGCTCGCTGGTATTGTCTTTGGATTTTGTATCTCCACCTCTTTGGATCGCGATCTCGTGTCCCCGTATTCCCCACTGGTAGCGTAGCCTCCAAAGTCGATCGCGGGTCCCACCCATGAATCAGATAAAATGGGGTATCCCCCGGATCCGATCTTGTGCAGTGTTAATGGCAAATGTGAGCCGCTCAGCATACTCATCCCAGTCTCGCTGGTCAACTTCAGCCACGTACATCTTGAGCGAATGTGTCAGGGTTTGCACCATTCGTTCGGCTGTTCCATTTGCTTGTGGCCTGTAAGCCATAGTAGCACGCTGTTTTTGTCCTACGATCCGACTGAAGGCTCGAAAGAAGTCGGACATAAATCCCGGTTCTCGATCGTGCCTGATAGCCTCGCTAGCTCCGAAGCGTCGAAACACACATTCTTCGTAATTCTCCGCTATTGTTTGTGCCGTCCGAGAGGAGCTAGCCTTTGCAATCACATATCCCGAGAAAAGGTCGACCCAAATGAGCAGTTCGGTGTTCCCCTTGATGGACTTGGGCAACGACGGTATATGATCCATGGCGATGATCTGGAATGGATAGGTTGCGTGTAGATTGCCCGGGGATTTCCCATGAATCATCGGGTTTCCTTTCCCGGTCTCACAGTCGGTACATTCGCCCACATATCGTTGAACGCTCCGATACAGTCCTCTCCAATGAAATCGCGATCTGATCCTCTGATAGGTTCGGCCAATACCCTGATGGCCTCCTTCCAGACTCGTGTGATAGTGATGCAAAAAATCCTGCTGCAACGTCTCAGGGATCACCAACCGCATCAAACCATCGCGATCTTCCGACTCTCTTTTCGCCATGGGGCAAAAAAATAGCAGATTGTTCTCATCGATCTCGTAATCCGGCGCCAGTTTGGCGCACATCTTCACTTCTACCGCATCCAAGTTTGATACATCGCCACTTAGATATGTCTTGAGATTGACAATCCAACGCTCTTCATCTTGAGCTTGGACAATTCGTTGAATCCTGATCCTCTGTACTATCTCCTCCTGTATCACTTCAGGTTCATGACGTATCCTCCTGGCTGATCTCGCGATCGCAGTTACCCGAGCTAGCTGACCATCTTGCTTGGGCTTCAACAATTCATCGAGACGGTTCAGAGTCATCAGATCTTGCCGATCCTCTTCAGCTACAACCGTTCTTCCCTTTTCGCTCTGCAATGCTGTGCTGGCTAGTCGATCTGCGCTCTGATTCCACTCTCGCTTCATATGCAGAAACTCGTGACTAGGCCATGACTGCAGCTTCTCCAACGCTTTGTGTCTCAGAAGCTGAAGGCCCGGTGCCTTGCAGTCGATCTCACCGCGCATCTGTCGAATCACCAGACTGGAATCTCCACACAGTATTACTCGCCCCCTATCCAGACCGGCGAGTAACTCAAAGCACAGTAGCAAGCCATTATACTCAGCTTCATTCACAGTCAGATCGTGAACATATCTCGATTCGGCCGCCACGATCGTCCATTCGGGTAACTTCCATATCACGGCACTGAACGACCCTCCTTTCTTTTTTATCCTAGCCGATCCATCGAAACTGGCCACCAGCAACTCCTCATCTGTTTCCACCGTTGGAGGAGGCATCGATATTTTGAGTCGACAGTCTTTTCGTGGGGAGATCGCAATCAGCATCTCTTCCACTTCTCCTCTCGGAGTGATACTCGCTGCTAACATGCCCAGGATCTCTTCCTCTCCTCTTTCACATTTCTTCACCTCCATAGTCCAATTTGACAACAAAGCAGCCCACCGTCCTAATCTCCCGTTGAGCCCTCGAGACTGCATCAACCAGGCTAACGTAGAATGTCGGGTCAGTACAGTGATCTCCCGCGAGGCAAGCGTAGTATAGCATACATCCAACACACGAAGTAGCGCCAGCACTTCTTTTTCTACCGTTCCGTAGTTAAGCTCATTAGGCTTTAAAGTGCGGCTAGTAAACGTCACCGGATGGTACACGCCATCGTACTCCTGTATCAGGGCCGCTGAGACAGCCCACTTGCTAGCGTAGACCACGATTACGGGGGACCGATCTGGGTCGAAATGCTTGAGCATGGGAGCTGTAGCTATCTTAGCTTTTAGCATAGTGAAAGCAACCTTGGCTTCCGTCCATCGACCCTCGTTGGAGCATTCGTCTCCTGCTGCAAGCTGAGATCGGCCGATCTCGAAGAAATCCGATTCTCTTAACTCATACAACACCGCGGCATACACCGCGAAATCCTCAATGAAGCGACGGTAGTAGTTCAAGCTCCCGAGAAAGGATTGCATAGCTCGTAGCGTGCTAGGAAACGGGATGTTAACCAACGACTCTAGGTTCTTGGGCTGAGCCTCCAGACCATCCATCGACACTCGATGTCCCAAATAATCGACCTTACGGCACCCCCAAAAGCTCTTCGTGAGGCTGATAGACAGATTCCACTTATCACATGCCTCCAGCAACCGTTCTACTTTTGTGTACAAAGATCCCCATGACGTGGCTGGTATGAGAATATCGTCAATGTAAGATCGGCGTCCCAGTATAGACGGTCGTCGATCTGTCTCAGGTTCTCCATCTTTGAACACGTCGATCGGGCCATCAGAAGCTGATCTCTGGCCGATCTTGAGATATCCATACAACGCATTGTCCACCAGACGTTGGTAGATCTGGGGCGCGTTCTTAAGCCCAAAAGGCATTCGCAGCCACTCGAACAAGCCAAACGGTGTGACAAACGCTGAGATCAGTTTTGCTCGTTCGGTCATTTCGACGACCCAAAATCCACTAGCCATGTCTAGCGAACAGTACCATAGAGCTTTATCCAGATCTTCCAACAGATCGCTGATCAACGGCATGGGATAAACCATCAGACGCGTCAGCTGGTTAACTCTTCGATAATCAATGCAAAGGCGAATATCCACTCCGTTCTTCTTGATGATCACCACTATCGGAGACGCCCAAGGTGACGTGGATGGCTGAACGATTTTGGCTGCTAATAGTCCTTTGATGAGATCTGACAGCTTCTCCCGATATTTGGGTGCGACCGGACGCACTCTTTGCGCTATCGGTGCTGCCCCACCGACATCAATATCACAGATCGCGCCTCGTGCTGCTGGTGGTAGAGCATTACCTTTACCCATGAGGAGGTGACGGCTCTTCCAGATCAGCGATCTGAGCCGTTGTTGATCTGTGGTGAGAGGCACATCGGGATCACCGATCTGAATGTCCTCAATCGTAACTTCTTCCGTAGTCGCCGACATCTCTGGTAGCACGGCCATATGCTGCTCGATATCTTCCGCAAACAAATCTCCGCTCTCGTGGTGATAAACTGGTATTTCTGCAATCTCGACGTCTTCAGTATTTAGCATTATTTCTTCTTTAGGCTCCTTCGTCTCTTCCGGCTGGCCCAATTTCAACAGTCGGTCAGTCGGCTCAGCCTTCGGTAGAGACGATCTGTCACGTAGCCCTTCTTGACCGGTGTCGCGGTCTCCCTTCGTTGCATGTTGGGTACCGATCTCATGACCGTTCTCCATCCGCGATAGTTCGGCTCCCCTGACCGTTACTTCCCTCGCAACTACAGCATCTGCCTTTTGCGAATCGTCATCGTTAGCTTGCGGCGTTACCGTGGAGATCGCCGGAGACAGGTTCTGTAACGCATCAGACGGACGTTTCAAGATGCGTTTGGGAGCGGCATACGTAGGACGATCTACCAATGGTCCGATCGGTTCTTTCGGGAGTTCGTTCACTCGATCCGTCGTAGCCTCATATGCCAGAGTTTGCCATTCCTTGTACTTCCCCGACCCGACTGTCACCAAACCTTGGGTTCGCGGTACCATATCGCCTTCGACCCACATGCCTAATATAGTGTGGGTGGGCAGTATGATCTCACGGTCGCCAATGTTGGTCATCTGCAGGTATTTCGTCTTACCCCACCCCGAGATCACAGTGGGGACCCAATCTAGTCCTCTAGCGACCCACAACTTCATCTTAGCCCCTCCGATCCCGATCTTCACTTCCCTTGACTCTCCGACCGGGATCACCACGTGTTGGTCCTTCGCCGTTATATGTTGTATCTTCGATCCGTACGCGGGGCGACGTCCTGCGAGATGAATGCGGATTTCTTCTGGTAGACATAGCGCGCCATCCGCTAGATCGAGCCGCACTCCAGCAGGCACCATAAAATCCATACCCAGAATCGCTTCTTGCCCTGCCAGATCGCCTACCCATACATTGAAATAGTATACCAGCGATCCCGCGAGGGTCACCTTGATCTTGGTACGTCCTACCGTCATGTACGGAGTTTCTCCAATCCCGATACATTCTTGTCGTTGACTTTCGTCAATATTGCAACCGACCTCACGAGCAAAGGTGGTGTCAATGATCGACACTTCAGCACCAGAATCAAATAACAGAGTAGCTTTTACGTTGTTGATCTTGCCAACGGCTTTCGCTTGTTTGAACCACTTCCCGGGTGAATAATGTTTCCAGTATCCGCGAGATTCACCATAAGCGAGCTCGATCTCCATAGCTGGTTCAGATCGTGAGTACTCATCGATCCGCTTCAGATGGGACACGGAAGCGACACGTTTTAACTTCGAACGAGATATATTTGTTTCCACGTCAATATCCTGCTTACTCTCGCGATCTGTCTTCTTTTTTTTCCACGTATGCAATAATGCAGAGCCCAGAACGCTCGGCTCGTACCAGATTCAAACCTGGCGAGCGTCCTAGTTTAACATCTTCTCGGCCTTCTCTGGTAGCATCCCCGCATGCTTATTCGGGACGTACCACTGACGGATCATGTTGTAGAACTCCTCCATGGGACACTTCCCCGGGTCGTGCATCTCACCGCAAGCACGACACACGAAAAAACAATTGTCAGAGGGGTGTCCTTTACGCCCACACTTCTGGCAAGTGAGCCGCTTCCAGCAACCGAGATCTCCATGCTTGGTCGATCCGCAATGAGTACACGGCTTCAATGGCATATTGCGATCTTGATAGTCTTGACGAGTGTTCGGGTCGACCGATCTCGCGTTTGCTGCAACGTCATTGGGGGATGAACGGCGATCCGCAGTAGCAGCCACATGGATCGATCTCAATCGATCTTCCAAATCCGATCCGCAGGTGTCCGATCCTGACTCGCTGCAGACGTCCTCGGTACGGACCATCCTTACCGCTCGTGCAGGCTTAGACAGCGCTGGACCCTGAGTTCCCTTCTGCCTGAATTTGGACGATCCCATCATCACTTTCCCTTGACGCGATCTCCCTTGTTGATATCCGTGCAGTGTCTTTTGCATGGCCTCCGCGTCTTCTACATTCAGCAGTAGCAATTGATTGGACAGATCGGGGTCGTCCAAGGTGTCAATGAAATGATTGACATGTTCCTTGCGCGCAGCTGGCAATCCAGTCATCACCGGTATCTTCGCCTGCATTCCCATCACATTAAGCCGATACAGGTACTGTAAAGGATCTTCCTCCGATCGTTTCTTTGCATGGTAGTATTGCCTGCTCGCGGACATCCCGTGTCCCGCATACTCCACAAGAAAACTGTTCATCAATTCTTTCCAATTGAATCTCGTCGATCTACTCAGCTGTCGGTACCAGTAGCGGGCTGGGCCCACCATGAGATCACCGAAGACCAGACATCTCTCCTCGTCCGGTGCTTGGTCCCGGATAAACGCTGATTTCACTTTGCCGATCCAGGTCCGTGCTTTGTCTTCTTCCCGATCCTTCCCTGAGAATTCTTTCAGCTCAGAAATCGCTGAGATTCTGATCCTCTGCGTGATGCTTCCCCCTCCGGTAGTCGCACCGGTCGCGGCTACATGAGGGCGCCGTGGTTCGGGCATCCATAGATCATCCGGGTCGTATTCCGCCGCCTCATGGATATGTTGGTAAATGTCCGACCCCACCGACTCCATCTCCACATCCGGCATGTCAAGGCTTTCGTGTGAAGGTTGGAGCAAAGTACGTCGATCTGGGTAGCGGTTTGGCTGTCGATTCATTCGCTGAGCTGTACGTTGATCCGCCTCGTACTTCTTCATGGCTGAATTGAAGTACCGACTTAGATCGCCCTCTTCTTGATCCTCCAGCCCAGTGCGGGTACTGGCCGATCTCTGCGGCATGTTGCTCTTGGCTTGTCCCTTATAGGCGTCGATCTTGGCTTGTCCGATCTTGTCCTTTAAGAACCTTCCACCCGATGGTCCTAGAGACATCTGACGAATGCTGATGGATCCATCTGACTCGCTCTCGGAGTCATCCGAGGCGTAGCGGGGCGATCCCGCGGGGTGTTTACAGAGCGAGCCCGAGGGCGTCCCGATCTTGTCTTCAGGAGTATTCGCTTTGCCCACCAGCATTATCATGATCTCTACAAACTCATTCGCCGCGTCCTTCAACTGTTCCAAGCTGCAACTCAGCAGTTCATCTCCATCAAAAGCGTCAGGGCAGATACCCATGTCGTCCAACATCTGCAAAATCACATTGATCTCGTCGACTTTGTTGGTCCCGTGAAGTGGGACCGAGATCGGCTTATCCAGAGGACCAATCACCTTGGGCCTTAACATCTTGAACACTGGGTCCGTCTTGAGCAGCGTCTTCAACTGGCCATAATAGTACTGCCATTTTGCACGCTCCCGCGCTTCACCCGTCGTCTCCTTCTCCATGGACGCGATCTTTATTGGGTTATATTCCGTCTTTGGCATCGCGATCTTATCTGGTGTTTCATCGTATTCCTCTTTGGCTCCGATCTTTGATTGCACGGTTCGGCCGATCTGGCGATCTTTGACATCTGATCCCATCGATCTCGTCGCGGATCGTTCTGATGTGGTCGATCTCGCGATTGTGCTCTTCGGCTTGAGGTCGGGCGATCTATCGACTAAGATATAGGGTTTGGCTTTCGCCGATTTGGTTTTCACCGTTGGATTTTCATCCAGCAGATCGCTCTTTGCAGAGCGATCTGCGGTGGCCCCCGAAGGGACCCTAGGAGGGAATTGAGGTTTATCTTCCAGATCGATCTCTCGATCTTCCTCTTTCATTTTCATTTCATCAGAGCCCCTCCCAAAACTCTGATGATCTGAGGATCTTGTGCTTCTGCGTGTCTGCGTCGATCCCTTTGTCGCTGACACTTCAATCCCAGGTTCTTGCTTAATCTTGACATCTTCGCCAGTGGACTCACGGTGAAATCCAGAGGCCTCAGAAGATCCGGGCACGCGCACCATTGTGGTGAAGTCGATCTCACAAACTTGCTTGTATGAGTGTCGATCTTCCACTTGCCCAGACTTGCCGACTCACGGAGGGGGTACTCCGATCCGTGCCTTGTTGTATGACCTTGTGCTCACCTTGTGTACCCGTCGGTTGGGCTGGCTTGAGCTCTTCGTAAAGGCCTTGGGAGATGTCGATCTCGCTGAGAGGTTGGGTTGAGGGTTCGCTTCCGGTGCGGAAATCTTCACACCACGAACGGGGGTTCTGCGATCCCGATCTTGGATCGCACCGATCTTGATTTGTCTTCGAGATCGGGGTCTTTGCTGTGCGGAAATCTTCACTCAGCAAATAAAAGTCCTGCGTCGATCTTGCCTTGGGATCGGTCCGATCTGGTCTTGGGATCGGCCGATCTTGCCGGAAGTGCGCAATTTGGGTAGATCGGTGTCTTGTTTCGCCAAAATGAAACGTGCCGATCTGTCCAGGGGATCGCTTCGATCCTGCTCGGTCTTGTCTTGAACGCCTTGTCCAGATCTTCTGACCACTTGAGCCGTCTCGCGATCCTGTGTCCAAAATCCTTTTCCTTTTCCGTTGTGTGCTGCTACCCTAGCAGTTGAGTTGAGTGTGAGTACTTGATCGATCTGGGCCAGATATCCCGGGATCGCTCTTCTCGATCTTGGCCAACAATCCAAGATCGGTCTTCTGTGTCCCTGTAACACGCGTGCCTTAACCCGCCGGGGAAGCCAAATCAATCTTGCCTGGAGAAGAGGGGAGGATAACGTGCGTCGTGAGCAGAAGAAGTAGAGTTCAAGTCTGTTTATTAACCAACCAAATTACTATCCAACCTACCCTTAAGCCTATTCTTAACTATAGGTCACTCTTCAAACCGATATCGCCTTGAATCTGGATCGCCCCCTTGCCACGTGTCGAAATTTCGTGCCCTGTACTCCAATGATAGCGCCAATATTCCCGATACCGTACCTGAACGCCAAAAGAGGACCAAATCCCAAATGGGGTACCAAATACCCATGTTTGGTACCCAAAAGCCCAAAATAGTGCCCAAATGCCGAAGGCGTCTAAATCCATTTTGCGACGTCAATTTAACCGGCTTCCACTGGCTCTTTCGATCTGAACTTTTGAGACATCACTCATGGACTTTCAACAAGCATGTTTGTCATGATCCAAAATTCTCATCAACGATACATCCATAATCAGTGGGGATCATGACCGATCTGATGCCCAATTCGAGATTGTTGAGGATCGACACAGTACAATCCGGCCATATATGTTCTTCCGTTCATTGTGTGCACTCCGATGCTTTATCAAAATGATTCTGCTTCAACATCCACATCCTTGCCTCTGATCAGCCTTCAGAGTGGTCGTTCGGTTCAATCCAGTCCCTCATCCTAGATCGCACCGTGGAAATCACCCCTTGCTACGCCCCGTCTCAAACCACGTCGCATCGCCTGGTCCCAGGCGTACTTTTCTCAAATGATTCTGCTTCAACATCCACATCCTTTCCTTTGACCAGCCTTTAGAGTGGTCGTTCGGTTCAATCCAGTCCCTCGTCCCAGATCGCACCGTTGGAATCACCCCTTTCTACGTCCCGTCTCAAATCACGTTGCATCGCCTGGTCCTAGGCGTACCTCTTCCGCCAGTGGGTGACATCTTAACTGGGTGGACACCGATCCACGTCCCATCATTTGATTAGTGACTTTACCACAGTTACACCTTCGTCGCAGAGTCATATCCCATCACCCGGTCCCAGATCCTTGTCCCAGATTGTTCCATGTAAATCGTTCCAGATCGCTCCGTCCCAGGTCGATTCATACCCATTAGTCTAACGACAGTTGGATCGGTTCGCCGATCCCGTTAAGATCATCTTCCACGTCCGTATTGGATCGCCGAGTCTCATGGCCTCCTTTTCCACCAGTAAGCGGCGATTTAAAGGTGTGGCCACCGATCCTCGTACAAAATTTGAGTAGTGACTTTGCCACAGATCCATGACGGATTTGGGAGGCATCCATGCCTTCTTCTCGGGAGCGAGACGCAAGACATTGCGGTCCCGCTCTTACTGCGACGTGCCGACAGAAGTACTTGCACCTCGCTGTGAAGTGGTGTCCATAGGAGAACTGACACCACTATTAGCGCCCGAGTCTCGCGACCTCGAGCGCCTACGCTTCGGCGATGGTTCATCTGTTTCATCAGATAAACCAAAGATGCTGCGACGCAAAGCATCATCCATGCCACGCTTTGCAGGCGGCTTAGATTCAATCGCCGTCGATACGGATCCGTCTTCCGTATCAGGAGAGTACGAGACACCAAGCTCGTACTCTGTGAAGAGACACGAGTGTCTTCATGACCAGCGCCTGCGTCACTAAGTGACACAGGCTGGGTCGCTTCAGCAACCGATGAGACATCAGTTGCTGTTGTTTCTGCTTCGGCGTCCGCACAGAGACGTGCGGACGCGCTCTCGGCGGCCTTGCTCGCGCATCGCATGGGCTTGTTAACCATGCGATGAGATGTTGGAAAGTGGACGCGGACCAGCAAGTGCAAACCCTGTCCCAAATGATTTGGGACGAGTATCCATTTAGTCAATCAGTCACTAAAGTGACTGATGGTTAAGGGGGGGGGGTGATGTAACGGGGTGAATCGTTACATAACAATTTATAAGAAATTGTTAATAGAATATAACTATAAGAGTTATATTCTCAGAATATTGTCATAAGGACAAATATTCTGTAGCACTTACGAGTAGTTCCTAATTGGTTGATATAGGCCATTATATCAACCAACGAAGACGCGCCACGACAGACGCACGCGATGAGTGGTGAGCAGATAATTGGTTTACACATTTGTATTTAGACATAGTTAGATGAAGATAAATAGTGATTTATTGCAGACATTAACGATTATAAATACAGTTCTACTTTTTACTCTAACCAAGTACTCGCTTCTTCTTACCGTCTTCCTCTGCACGTACCAGTGTACGTGAAGTTACGCGGCACCGCCTTATTCTGTCATCAGAATAAGTAGCTTGTACTGTCACCAGTACAAGCTTCAGGGTGCCCCGTTACAGTAAATCCATGAGAAGCCGACGATGGATCGGCCTCGAAATGGCCAACTACGCGCTTTAGAGCCACGGCTTCTAGCGTACAAGAATAGTTCCTCTACGCGCATTAGATAGATCGGTGTCGAGACCACACACAAAAAAGAGTACCACAACTAGCTTCTACTCTGGAGTGTCTTCAAACTGAACGACTTCGATGACAACGACAACGACAGCATCGATGTGCAAGATCGGAGCTATTTTGCTGCATCAACACCTAGCTATTGAAGATCGAATCCAGATAGACATTGTGAATTTGTCAATTGCAACAGCGTCTCGATGGGACGTTTGCTGTGTAATGACTGTAGTGCGCAATGTGCTTTTAGTGGAGGTGAAAATGTACTCAAATGCTTCCATTTCGTACACATCGAGACGGTCTTTACTAATCTTACCAGGTATGAGCAAGATGAATGCTGTTACGAGCCGCAGCAACTGCTTCCTCAATCATTCATGTTGCTTGAAAATTATCACAAGGGCGGTGGCATACATAACAACCAGACAACTACTTCTCAGTGCTCAGAACGAAAAGTAGTATTAAGAGTTAAGACTACTGCTAAAATGCATTTATAAATCCCCTCATAAAGTGATCGCTTATCCAGATTGTTCGAAGAGCCCTGTACCTGCAAGTTGCCATACACACGACACACAATTCATGTCGTGGTACGTAAACCTCAACACTCCCCTTCAACTTGCACTCTCATGGATTCCACTTGCATCATGCAGACGTAGCAGTTGTGGTGCACTAAGTGGCTTCATCAGGTAATCAGCAAGTTGCATTAAAGACGGAACATCTTTAAGCTAAATTGTGCGTTGCTGTAACGGGGCACCCTGAAGCTTGTACTGGTGACAGTACAAGCTACTTATTCTGATAACAGAATAAGGCGGTGCCTCGTAACTTCACGTACACTGGTACGTGCAGAGGAAGACGGTAAGAAGAAGCGAGTACTTGGTTAGAGTAAAAAGTAGAACTGTATTTATAATAGTTAATGTCTGCAATAAATCACTATTTATCTTCATCTAACTATGTCTGAATACAAATGTGTAAATTGATTATCTGCTCACCACTCATTGCGTGCGTCTGTCGTGGCGCGTCTTCGTTGGTTGATATAATAGCCTATATCAACCAATTAGGAACTACTCGTAAGTGCTACAGAATATTTGTCCTTATGACAATATTCTGAGAATATAACTCTTATAGTTATATTCTATTAACAATTTCTTATAAATTGTTATGTAACGATTCACCCCGTTACATCACCCCCCTTAACCATCAGTCACTTTAGTGACTGATTGACTAAATGGATACTCGTCCCAAATCATTTGGGACAGGGTTTGCACTTGTTGGTCCGCGTCCACTTTCCAACATCTCATCGCATGGTTAACAAGCCCATGCGATGCGCGAGCAAGGCCGCCGAGAGCGCGTCTGCACGTCTCTGTGCGGACGCCGAAGCAGAAACAACAGCAACTGATGTCTCATCGGTTGCTGAAGCGACCCAGCCTGTGTCACTTGGTGATGCAGGCGCTGGTCATGAAGACACTCGTGTCTTCACAGAGTACGAGCTCGGTGTCTCGTACTCTCCTGATACGGATGACGGATCCGTATCGACGGCGATTGAATCTAAGCCGCCTGCCAAGCGTGGCATGGACGATGCTTTGCGTCGCAGCATCTTTGGTTTATCTGATGAAACAGATGAACCATCGCCGAAGCGAAGGCGCTCGAGGTCGCGAGACTCGGGCGCTAATAGTGGTGTCAGTTCTCCTATGGACACCACTTCACAGCGAGGTGCCAGTACTTCTGTCGGCACGTCGCAGGAAGAGCGGGTCCGCAATGTGTTGCGTCTCGCTCCTGAGAAGAAGGCATGGATGCCTCCTAAATCAGTCATGGATCACTTGTCGGCGACGACGAGTGATCGTTATCGAACACGATTGTTCGATTCGTCAAGGATCCATCACCTTGACCCCAGCGCGAAAAACTATCGCGCTGAACATGAATTCTTCATCGATGCTTTCTTTAGACATCGATGGTACAGTGGGAATCACAAACGTGATGGTCCCTCACTACTTCAGGCGTGGAACGCCTACATCCATAACCTCGAGGATGTAGGTCGTGACGCTTGGAACGACAAACTTATCAAAGCTCGTGATAAGTTTGAAAAGCGAACCCCGACAGGTGCACGCTACAAGCTGCATCATCTGTCAAGGGAGAAAGGATTACCCTGCCTCTCTTGGAGAGACTCGTGCCCATGTTGTGTGAACAACTCTGCACGAGCACCTAAGGAGGCTTACCTCCTTACCAGCCCGTGGTGGCGCGTACGTGTCTCTACTGAGATGTACGAAGGGATTGACAACCTGAAATCCCTTTACGACCGTGCCGGGAAGACTTTCTCCGGCGGTCCTTCTGCGGCACAGGATGTGCCGCGTCGTACTGCTCAACCAGACCTAGTACGTCGATCATCAGTTGGGAGCGGGGCTCTTAAGAATCCCAGGACGGGGGATAGCCGCGCCACCGGACAAGATAACTCGTCCGACGTCCGTTCACGTCGCGGTGGTTCAACAGCTGCTCAACTAGATAGCGCTGGCCACCGCGAGAGTCCTCTCATGGAGGTGGAGGAGGAGGAAAGACGCTCTCCACACGATCATGTGGATCGGTGTGTACCCGAGAGCTTCTTTGATCGCGTAACGCAAGGGTTACGCGACGATCTCGAACATGAGCGGAATAGGCGTCTCCAAATGGCGGACACTGCCTCGAAGCATCGAGCTGAGTTTGCCTTTGCTCAGCTCGAGAACGAGAGATCTCTGACATCTCTTCGTGACGAGCTAAGGGTAGCTCGTGGGATTGCTGATCGATCTCGGGCTGAGATAACTGCTCTTCAGACCCTTGTTGATGCCCACCATCGGGAGCACAAGGCTCTCTGCGAGATGCTTGAGCGCGAGGGCGTTCTTCATCGGAAGAAGCAGCGTACTGATGGTACGGCTTAAGCCGACCAACGTAAAACGTGGGATGCGTTCGCATCTTACGTGGTAACTCGATCGTGTATGCATTGCCTAGGCGGTGCAATACACGAAATGGGCCAATGTACTTGGGTAGTAGTTTACTGCTACCCAAGTTAGTCACTACCTGCTTTGGTAGATTAACCGTAGACAGTAGGACTAAGTCACCTTTATTAAATAAAAGAGTGTTTGCCCTTCCATTCTTGTCAGCGTTTTGCTTTTCCTTATCCACCGCTTCGGCGATGGAGTCTTGCACAAAACGGACTACCGTTTCACGAGCCAGTATGAACTCATCTGATGACTCGTTAGCTTCAGTGTGCTGTGAGCGCACTGCAGCAACACCAACCTTTTCTTCAGTGAGGGCTTCCGCACTCTCACTGGGATCATCTTCTTCAGTGAGGGCTTCCGCACTCTCACTGGCATCATCTTCTTCGATATCGATGTTATCGATATCGGCATCAAACGCAATGACTTCTTCGTCAGAGCGTGATGAGCGTGAACCAATTCGGTTTTTGCTCGCGCGAGTCCCTCCCCCCCTTAAACCAGAGTTACACTCTAGTAAGGTGGGTACACGCGGATTGCGTAAGCCATTCACGTTAAAAGGTGGATGTGTCGTGGACGCATGCACCGAGTTGTTGATGGCAAACTCTACCTTTGGCAAAAACTCACTCCAACTCTTAAAGGAGTGTACGTATCCTCGAAGTATCTCTTCAAGGACACGATTGGCACGTTCCGTCTGACCATCTGACTCTGGATGATCAGATGTTGACATCTTCAAGCGCGTTCCGAGTGATTTGAACACGGAACGCCAGAAATCAGCAGTGAATCGTGGATCTCTGTCTGATACTAGTTCACGGGGCAACCCATGAAGTCGGAAGATGGTGTCAATAAAGACACAAGCACAGCCACTTGCCGTGATTGTCTCTGGTACAGCCACAAGGTGTACCATTTTGCTGAATCGGTCAACAAATACGAGAATACCCGTATTCCCGCGTGCGTCTTTGGGTAACCCGAAGACGAAATCCATTGAGATGGATTCCCAGCACTCAGCCGGAACCGGTAGAGGCTGTAAAGGTGCACGCAGTGAAGGACTTGACTTCACTCGTTGACAGACTTCGCATGCGCGAACATACTTTCGCACAAACTGATACTGGCGGGGCCAGTAAAAGTCTCGACTTACCGTGAGATATGTTTTCTCTCGGCCACGATGTCCTCCTATAGGAGCATCGTGATACTCGAACATGATCCGCAAACGCAGATCAGTATCATCTGGAATGACAA